AAGGGTTTAAAAAAAAAATTTTTTCAAAGGGTTATAAATATCCCTCGGGGCGGGGGGGGGGGCAAATTGGGGCTCCCAAACCCCATGCGGCTCTTTTAGCCCCCTTGAGTGTGGCTCGTCCCACAAAAATACCCGACTCATGCGCATGGGCCCACGAAGTTTGTATGTGCGTGCCCGCCGCACGTGGTATTTTGTGGAAGAGCCACACTCAAGGGGCCAAAGAGCCGCATGTGGCTCGCGAGCCGCAGTTTGCCGACCACTGCCCTAGGTGAAATTTAAAGCACATGTGATGTTAAATTTTCTATACTGTTTCTGTGTTTAAATTTTTTCTATCTTAAAATACAAATTTTATAAAAGAATCAATAACTAAAAGCATTTAAAAACTCTGATTTATTACCTGAAGCAATATTCAGTTTGAATGATTTGGAACTGCAGTTGAATCCTACATGATTTTTTTTGGATCATCTATTTAGACAGTGGTACATGTTCATCACTGTAATCCCTGAAATGTAAATTATGTTGAATTTCCTTTCATGAATTAATTTGATAATGTTAACTTTAAAGTAATTACTTTAATATTTTAACTTAATTCTTTTACTTCATACAACAGCAAGAAAAAATAAGCAACTCAAGCCATTCCTCAGAGATAGTATTTTGTCAGATAAGTGAACACAGTTAAATAAGTTATCTAAGCTAGCTTTTATCTTTAAGATCACACACAAAAAATTCTAGTTTACCAAAAGTTTTGACCATTAAGGAAGTTATATGGGTCTGATAAGCAATTAAATTTATTTCTACACAAAAATTAAAGAGATGCTCACTTAACTCCTTACAGTTAAGAAGAGAGGCAAGAAACTGTGGCCTAGAGAAACTGACTAGCCTAAAGCTAGTCAGAAGAAATTCGGAATTTTCTTCTACTTAATTTTGAATATTTTATATTTTCAATAGCTATCCATAGCCTAATATGCTGACATAAAATAGGTTGTTACTTTGTATTGATGCCTGATACTAGTAATCTACATTATTGGAACTCTTATCCATGAGACTCTCCAGAATTAAGTGAGTGTCTATGAAAAATTGTAACACTGAGTAGTTAATAATTTATTTTTCATGTGTTAGGACAGTACCCATCAGTGCTCTTTATTATTTTTTAAATTTATTTTATTTTCCATCACCGTTTATCCCCTCTATGCCCTCTTCCACCTCCACCCACCCCCCTCAGTGCTCTTTAAATGTCTAAGTAAATTCAAAATTTGGATGATGTAAATATTAAATCCAGCAATTTGTTACATCTTTTGCTATTAATTCACATCAGACAAGGCCACTTTTTATGTTTATAAAATAGGATAGCACCATCAACATCCTAGCTATTCCAGAATGTGTTAATATTTATTAATGTTAATTAGTAAATTAGTGTTGAGAGGTCTCTAAAGGAATACTTGATATATTCAGAGCAATATATAACAAAGCTTAATTTTTCCACTTTCCTAAATGGAAGGTTTTTCTTCTTTTAAAACTTTTTTTTTCCTCACTGCAACTTATACATGTCAGGGATTTGACATAGAACATCAAATACTTTCAACCTTTAACTTCATTTCCTTGTTTTTTTGCCCTGTTCAAGAGTTTTCTATATCCCTTCATGTGCTCACCCAAAACTCCCCTTTTCTTCCAAACTTATTTCTCAAGCATTTTTATATAGACTACATTTTATTCTCTACATTCCTGTAATGAATAGGAACCATTATACTATTAGTTACAATTCATTGAGCACCTCTGTGCTAGAATTCTCACAACCCTGTAGTAAGAGCCAATGCTTAGTAGGTGATTACCATATAAGACATTGTTCTAAGTGCTTTACATAGATTGACTTAATCCTCGTAATAGCTCTACAAAATAGGTACTACTACTAACATCCCTAATTTGATGAAAAAAACAACTGAAGAACAGAGAGAGCAAGAAACTTGAGCAAGTTATAAGAAATAAGTGATGGAGCTGGATTAGGAACCTGGGTAGTCTACAGTCTGCCCTAAAATTGGGAAACTGTTTTTCACCTGTGTGTGTCTCCTTTACTCTCACACTTCTGCTAGACTCACACTTTCTGACACCAGGTGTATTGAGGTTTCCCCCCACTAAACAATTCTCTGCGACAATAGCTGGGTGTCTTACAACTTAATTCTGAAGCTATCTACCTGAAGACAGCCAGGTTGTCACCTGTGCTTCTGGCAAGTCAGCTATAAATCAGAGGTCCCCAGGACTCCCTCCTAGGGTTCAATTAGTTTGCTCACAGAACTTATGGAATCACTTATTTACATCTACCAACTTATTAAAAGGATATGAGATACAGATGAACAGTGAGATAAAGAGATAGACAGGATGAGGTCTGGAGGGTCCTGAGCACAGGAGCTTCTGTCCAGGGTGGAACTGGGGTGCATCACCCTCCCAGTAAGGGCTTTTAAGACTTTTTCACATAGGTATAATAAAAAATTAACTCCATTTCCAGCTCCTCTCCCCTTTATGGAGAATGGAGCTCAAAATTCCCAGCTTCTAATCATGGCTTGGTGTTTCTGGTGACCAGTCCCCCACCACCCAGGAGCCCTCCAGAGTCACCTCATTAGAATAAAAGATGCTTTTGAATGTTCTTATCACTTAGGAATTTACAAGGGTAAATCCGGGGGCAGAAACCAATATATATTTTCTATGATCTTACAGCTCTTAAATACTATTATACCTCTTTATCAAGTTAGATATAATAATTGTACTATACAGATAAAGAAAAGTCAGAGATCAAGTAATTAACTCAAAACCACCCTAGTAAGTTAACTCCAAAACCTGCAGGTTTTTTGTTTGTTTGTTTGTTTTCAGAGAAGGGAGAGGGAGAGATAGAAACATCAATGGTGAGAGAGAACCATCGATTGGCTGCCTCCTGCACACCCCCCACTGGGGATTGAGCCCGCAACCCAGGCATGCACCCCTGACAGGAATTGAACCGAGAACCCTTCAGTCCACAGGCCAATGCTCCATCCACTAAGCCAAACCAGCCAGGGCCCTGCAGTTTTTATATGGTATCAGAACAGGATAGGGCTCTGCCACTTAATAGCTATATGACCTTGATAAAGTTACTTCGTCAGTTTCCTCACTTTTATAATATGGATAATAGAATTTGCCACACAAGAGTAGTTGTGAGGAAAAGGGAAATAAATACAAAGTGCACCTTAGCACCCAGTAAGTGTTAATTTTACTTTCAACCTACCTCTTTTATTTATAAAACAAAAGATAAACTAATTTGACATCTGTGCTACTCTAAGGAAGCAGAAGTAAGCCAGAGGTTAAGAGAATGAAGGCTCAAAATAAGCTGGCTTGGGCCCAAATCCCAAGCATGTGCCCTTTAGAAGCTTAACCTTTACGAATTTCAGGATCCTCATCTCTGATATAACAGTATTACCTCACAAAGTTATTGCAAAGATTAAATGAGGTGATACACATCTGGTACATGGCAAGTATTTAGTAAATATTAACTACTATGCATCTTTAGCAGCTAGCCCAATGTTTAATGAAAAGAGCGACAGTTAAGGCATCTTTTGTGCTTTTTTTTACTAGTCTCTCCTTTTCTTCCCTGGCATCATCCTAAAAGTTCACAATCTCAATCTCTCTCTTACTGTAAACACCAGAGTAACTAAAGAAAACTGTAACTTTGTTACCAATTGAAGTTGGCACTTACCTAGTGGTAATCAGACCAAATTTTCAGCAAATGGATATACAAACAGCAACCACTGCAAGTCAGCAGCACAGAAGGGGAAATGGAATTTTTACCTTATTTACCACATTAAGGACTATTAGAAAATATCACAATTAATGTAATTAAGGAATATCTCTTTCTACTTTTAACCAAAGTTCCTCTTTACTCCTGTTTTTACCACACAAAATGTACAAAACCCTTCACATTATAAACCTATTAACAAGTATCCTGCTCAAGAATTATATTTAGGTAAATGAAACAATGTCAGAACTATTTCATAGGTTATTTTACAAATGATTGCCAAGGTGCATTCTCTTCAATTTATTGTGAAAAATTATAGTTTGACTGTTGCTCCCTTACTAGCTGTGAAATTTTCCTAGATAATTCTTGACAGGATACTGAAGAACTTTTTTTCAAAACCATCTCTTTTCCCAAGCATCTGCATATAGCTCCCACAGTTCTTGTATGACCTTAACATAAATTAAAGGACAAATAAATTGAGCAATAACCCAAATGAATTTCCCTGTTGACAAGAATTTTAAAAGGTTAGGAATTATATATTAAAACAATCACTTCACTAGTTAAAATTAAATTTATTGATGTAAAACTTGCAAAAACAAAACGAAACTTTACTTAAGCTTAATGCTCTTTTTAACTCCTGCACGAATTCCAGATAGTTCGCCACTATAACGTTGCTCTTCCCTGCGAACTTCACGAACCTGGCCTCTTCTGCGAATTTTGGCTCTCCTGAACTTCTCTCTGTGTTTCACTCTGGGATTGCGATCAATCTTCTTTCTCCTTGGTGTAAGTCCCCTGTTTTTAGCAATCTGATAGGTAATGGCTCTCTTTGCATTTTTATCTTCAAGATCCTGTTCTTCGGTACTATTTTCTTCTTTCTTTCTCTTCAACTTCTGCCTGTCTTCCATTTCTTTATAGTATTTCAGGGCAGCTTCATCAAAATTGGCATCATCAGAAAGATCTGTAACAGCGGCAGCGGCAGCAGTCTCTGAAACAGATTTTGGTTTGGCCTTGGTGGGTTTTGCTTTTGGAGTTAGTTTTTTCTTTCCAGCACCATCCTTAAGTGTGAGTAGATGACGAATCTCTGAGGACAGCTTCTGATCCACAACTGACAGCTTGTTGATTAAAGTTCGGTAGGTCACAAGCCTTTCTATAACAGGATGTCCGTGTGCGGGGACTCGCCTAGCTTTCAGGATCAAATAAAAACTGATGTTGGAGCAGTAGTTCAAATAGAGGTTGTACTTGGTCCTCAGGTATTGGCTTCCTTTTCCACGTGGAATGATCCCTTGCTCCACCAACTGCAACAATGGCTCCAGCTCATCTTTCACCTCCGTCAACTTAACTTTCAGGTCTTCTATCAGCTCCAAGAGCTCTGGTGATTCCTTCTTCAGCATCTTCAGCTTCTCTTTCACTGAAACTTTGGCCAAATCCTTCACAACCCGTGTCTCAGACTCATCTACCTGAGGGACCTGAGGTTTTGCAAAGGCCTCCACCCAGTTAACCCCAAAATCATCCTCTTGCAAGGCTTGGGCTAGGCGCCTCTGGATGAGCTGTGCCTCCTCCTCCTCCTCTCTTTCCTCCTCCTCTACTTCTTGCTGACTCCGCCGGCCTCGGGACTTGGAACCATAGTCCGTATCGTAGTAAAGTTTTTTCCTCTGACCCCACGACAAACTGGGATCCGCAGAGGCCTCAGCTTCACTCTGCACTGAGCTCCCACCATCATCATCGTCATCCTCCTCATCCTCCGCGCTGTCTCCATCTTCATCGTCCTCATCGGCAATATCGAGGGCTAGTACCTCCTCCTCCTCATCGCCATCCTCCTCCTCGTCCCCACTCTCTAGTTCGCTCCAACCCTTAGCCAAGGCGGCTCGAGACCGGGCCTCATGAAAATCATCTACCTTATCCTGGTAGTAGCTGGAGTCCCCTGGCGAGGGTGGCAATTCTAAATCGTCTTCCTTTTCGTCCTCCGCGCCGCGACCTGCCATGGCTCTCACTGCTGCCCACTTGGCCGCTCCGCGCCGCCGGGATCTCCCCACCATAGCTCGCGGTCTCAGGTTGTACACCGAGGTCGAACTACCGCCACCTCTGACCTCCGCGCACGAGTCAGGCGCTCCGGCAACACTCCTCTGGAAACTGCCACGCGCTCTCCTACCACGCGAGTTTGCCGGCGCCCAGGTCGACTGTAGGAGCTCCTCCCTACTTCCGGCTCCCAGGATGCTCTCCTGTGGCGTGTGAACCAGGACTTCCGCTCGGTCCCGTCACGTTAAGAGCACCTCCCTTTCCGCTCTGCTCTTTCATGCCACAGGAGTGTTAAAATCTTTCCGTGTAGGAACAATAGGTGTAGGAACTTTAGTTCCGTAAAGCTCCTTAAGGAGACTTCTGTTCTTACTCTCGCGAGTTTGGGCGGGGCCGGGCGGGGCGGGGCGGAGGGGCGGGTTTAGTGACGGGACCGCGAGGCGAGGCCGCCCGGACCAGTAGAGGGCGCTCGGCCTCTACGCCTAGAATAGTGAGTTGTACTGCCTCGTAAGTACCGGTGTCTCCTGCGGGGAGCCGAGTGCGGGTGTACTGGGTTCCCTGGCTTACCGAAATTGTTTATCTTCTGCGTGTATTAGTCTGGAGTTAATCAGGTTTCTCTCCGAAATGTGCAAGTACATTTCCGGGCACCGTAGCCCGAGGCCCGCCGGCGCCGCTCGACTGGATAGTCGTGGCGTGGGTTCCCGGTGAGGGCGCAGGCCGGGCTTCCGGCGCACATTAGCCGCCTCCCCCGCTCGGTGACTCCGCGGGGATTTGTGCCCCGAAGGGGCGACGACGGGACGGCAGGGCCTCGCCCTAGGGTTTGACTCTTTGCGGGAAATTCGAGTTGGCCGCAGAAGGCACTGCGATTTCCCCTCTTCAGGATACAGTACTTTGGAAACGAGATATTTTGACTCAGTGGCTTCCCCTTTATTATTTCTTCAGCACTTAGGCCCTGGGAGGACAACGGTGGGCAAAGTCTCGCTGACCCCACACTCGTGGAACCTGTGGTCTCGTGGGGGGCAGGCGTTTGTCAACCATGCGAGAGATGCCAAATCACAGCTGGAGTGAGTGCCGCGAGCACTCGTCCTGTCCCCCCGCCTTCGGCTGCTGGGAGCACTCACCGTGCCTTTTATGTCGCCCTTTTTATAGATGCCACCCTCCCTCCTTAATCAGGGTTCAGTACCCCTCAACCTTGGGAAATGTCTGCTGTATTGAAGATGCTTAAGCAGCACCTCTTTGAGCTCACTCCCTCAGTTTCATTTTCCTCGGTTCTGCTCCATCACCCAGTAGATCTCTACAACACGATTGCAAGCGCCCCGTGCAGTGTCTGGCACAGAGTAGTGTCCAATCAAGGTTTGTTTAATGAATAAATATTGAAATCACAGTATTTTGTTGTTATTAACCCTCACCCGAGGATATTTTCACATTGATTTTTTAGAGAGAGTGGAAGGGAGAGGGAGGGACACACAGAAACATGAATGTCACATCGATTGGTTGCCTCCCGCGTGCACCCCAACCGGGATAGGGATCCAGCCTGCAATCGGGTATCAAACCCAGGACCCTCCAGTCTGCCCACCGATGCTCTATCCACTGAGCCAAATCAACTAGTGCGAAATTACAGTATTTGATTAGCTGTCTGCCTCAGGTGCTACATAAAATGGAGTGAATGAATAAAGCATAAGGCTGCAAACAGCCCTATGGGAGATAACCTGAGCTGGAATGGATTTTAGGAATCATTAATTCCAACTATGTACTTTTATTTTATACACGTGGCACAGAGACTTAGGGAGATTACATTAGCAAATCTGGCACAGAAACCAGGGACAGGACTCCCCACCAGGCTTCCACACTCAGCTGTTACCAGTCCTTGGCCTCTTCAATGTGCATGAGTTTCAGACCTCCCCCAGCGGGTTTATTTTGCTGGGTGGACGAAAAAAACTAAGAGCATAGATTAAAGTATTTGAGGAAAAGGGTGGTAATAAGGGAAGAATTAGTCAACCTTGTCTTTAGAAGTATTACTAGGGCTAGAAGTCTGAAAGGGCAACCCGATAATCTTAGAATAATTCAGGTTTTAAGTTTTCAGACATTACATATGCTAGGTTCAGAGTTAGTACTTTGATACTTTCAAAGGAAATCGTTGGAAGCTGAATTTTTGATATGTTGCTAAAATTAATAGTGACACAGTTTTTTTGCAGAAAGTATGTTATTAGGTTAAAAGTAATACACATTTTTAGAAAAGTGATATTTTGAAGTAACTTATGCATTTGAAAACCTTTACAAGATTTTAGAAAATACAATTTTATGAAAAAAAGATGTGAATTAAAAATCTTCTGTTTTGATGGCAAGAGCAGAATAGATTTTTGTCATTCAACAGATATTAACTGTTTACTAACTAGCAGAACGCTACATGCTCTAGATTCAAAGCTGAATTAGTTACAGTCTCCTCCCTCAGGTAGCTTATAACCAGGTAGAAAAGAAGACATGCATTCAGATTACTAAAATGCAAGGCAGTGTGTGTTGTAAACACTGTGCTGTGAGAGATCGCTTTTGGATTGTCATTCTAGAAATATTCCTTACAAAATGTGTCATCTAAACTGGAACTGTAATTATGTCCTTGGTTTAAATGCAGTACTGAATATTCATTATACCTAAACATTAAGTTTTATTTAGGCAGATAAAACAAATCCCAATTTTCCCGTTTATTTTTTTGCAGATTATTTGAAAATTTATAGTCATACTTCTGGACCAATGTGCATATATTATTATAAAGAAGTTAGAAAAATATTTTGGGTATATCTATATTTATATCTATATCTAATCTTTTTTAAAGATTGATTTGAGAGAGAGAGGAAGTGGGAGAGAGAGAAACATTGATGTGAAAAACATTGTTTGGTTGCCTCCCATATGTGCCCCAAATCCTGCATATGTGCCCTGACCAGGAATCGAATCCACAACCTTTTGGTGCACAGGATACCACTCCAACCAATTGACCCATCTGGCCGGGGCTATTTTGGATATTTTTATTTATTTATTTTTTTTTAAATATATTTTATTGATTTTTTACAGAGAGGAAGGGAGAGGGATAGAGAGTCAGAAACATCAATGAGAGAGAAACATCGACCAGCTGCCTCCTGCACACCCCCCAGTGGGGATGTGCCTGCAACCAAGGTACATGCCCTTGACCGGAATCGAACCTGGGACCTTTCAGTCCACAGGCCGACGCTCCATCCACCGAGCCAAACCGGTTATGGCTATTTTGGATATTTTTAATGGGAATGAGCACATTGCCCTAATATTATTTAGTTTATACTACATATTCCACTTCCTTTTTAGAATAGAGTTGCAAAAATCAATGCATATTCAGAGAGTGTTTTGTATAACATTCTCAAATCTTTTTTATAAAGAACAGTTAAAGCCCTGACCGGTTTGGCTCAGTGGATGGAGCGTCGGCCTGCGGACTGAAGGGTCCCAGGTTTGATTCCAGTCAGGGGCATGTACCTTGGTTGCGGGCACATCCCCAGTGGGGGGTGTGCAGGAGGCAGCTGATCGATGTTTCTCTCTCATCGATGTTTCTAACTCTCTGTCCCTCTCCCTTCCTCTCTGTAAAAAATCAATGGAAAAAAAAGAAAAGAAAAGAACAGTTAAAGTCAATTCTTTAATTCCAGTGGCTCTCATACAGTGGTCTTTCATAGCTTAATCTTATAATTATACTAGAGGCCTGGTGCACAGATTTGTGCACTGGTGGGGTCCCTTGGCCTGGCCTGTGGGGATCAGCCGAAACCAGCCAAAACCGGCAGCCCTATATCTCCCGAGGCATGTAGTAGTGTGAGAAGTGGCAGGTGGCTGGGGAGGAGCTGGAGCCCAGGCTGGGCGCCGGGCCACTCCCACTTATCCCGGCTGGCTGCGCCTGCTGCCACCACTGCTCAGTAGGCTCGCTGCGCACTGCTGTGGTCTCTGCGTGCACCCATCCTAGGGCGATACCAGCGTGCCCATGATTGAGAAGCAGCCGTGGGGCTTGTGCCCAGTCAGTCCCCATCCAGTCCTGGTCCAGATGGGGGAGGGGCGAACAGGGGGAGTGTCCATGGGAGAGGCTCAGGCCTAACGACAGCTGCGCTCGCCAGCCATGAGCCTGGTGTCTGGCCCCCTTGGTCAGCTGAGTGGTGCTCTTGCTGTGGGAGCGCACTGACCGCTGGGGGTGGGGGGGAGCACTCCTGTGTTGAGCGTCTGCCCTCTGGTGGTCAGTGTGCATCATAGCTACCGGTCAACCAGTTGAGCGGTCAAGCTGTCGAACAGTCGCTTAGGCTTTTATATATATAGATTCCACTTTGGTGAGGAATTTTTTTTCTTAAAAATTTTTATTGCTGAAAAGACACTAATAGCTTTATTTTATCATATACTTATGCCAATTAAAAAGAAAACCACTGGGCCCCCTAAGAAAAAGAACAGTTATTAAATAACATTTGACATTAATATTTGTGGCAACTATAATTTATCATCAACCTAAATCTTTATTATATTATGATGCCTGGCTCAGGAGTTAGCAAGCTATACATAATGAGAGTCCAATAGTTTTTTTTTTTTCTAATATATTTTATTGATTTTTTACAGAGAGGAAGGGAGAGAGATAGAGAGTTAGAAACATTGATGAGAGAGAAACACAGATCAGCTGCCTCCTGCACATCTCCTACTGGGGATGTGACATTAATATTTGTGGCAACTATAATTTATCATCAACCTAAATCTTTATTATATTAGGCCGACGCTCTATCCACTGAGCCAAACCGGTTTTGGCCCAATAGTTTTTTAATGAAAATGCTTTTGCCTTTTCTAAGCCCTTTAGGGGAAGGTAGGGGCTTGTGAATGACACACTAGGTGATATTAGCATACTTTCTTCCACCCATGAGTTTGGGTTGTTGAAGGTATTCTACCACCAGATTAGCTAAATCTCATTTTCTTTCTGGCATAATGCAGCAATAATAATAATTGCTAATAATGAGAGCAGTTATTATGTGCTAAGTACTGTTATAAGCTCTTCATATTCAACTTTATGAGAAGGTACTATAATGATCTCTAACCTAGGAAACTGAATATGGAACTTAAATGAGGTCATAAGTCTAGGAACTGGTAGAATTCAATTTGAATCCAGATAGCTGGCTTCAGAATCCATACTGTACTTAGCTAACTATTGTATTATACTGACTTTCAAATATTTACTCAATGTCTTCTCATTTCTAGTCTCTGTTTTACATTTGATTCAGTATCATCAGATATATCTTTCTGGAATACCATTTCCATCTTCCCACACCCTTGTTCAAAATCTTTCAATGACTCTCAGTTACTATCAAGATAAAGTTCACAACATGCATGGCCCTCCCACAGTTTTGCCTCAAAGCAAACTTTCAAGCCAGCCATATCTTTTTTTTTTTTTCATCAATCAACCTTTAATGTCCAAAAGAGCCATGGATGCAGAGCATAAGAGATGTGGCAGGGTCTCAGCCCCAACTCCAGAAATGAGGGAAGCCAGCCATGTCTTTTATTACTCCCCAACTATACCCTTTATCCTAACTGAAGTGCCTACCACTTTTTATTCCTCAAACATTACTTTGCAATTTCCTTTTCTGTCTCTGTGCTCATCTTCTCAATATTACTTATCAGAAGTTTATAAATATTACAGACATATTTTTGGCTAAGAAACAAATTCTCACACGGGTCCATATGGGACCCGTATGACGCTATTTGAAAAGCTCTTATTAGTAGCAGGGAGTTGGAGATAACCTGGATGCCCATCTTTGGAAGAGCAGATCAATAAAATGTCATGGATGAATAGCATGGAATTTAGGAGCATAGAGTGACTATATATCTTGGTTTGCCTAGTCCAGCCCTGTTTAACCTGTTATTCCAGTGTAATTATTAATAGCACCTCCCTTTACTTGCATGATTTGGATGGTAAATTAAACGGCCATTTTAAGTACACAGTAATTGGAAATAGTAGATTACATATCCATATAGCAACATGAATCATCATTCTTAAAAACAATGTGCTTAAGGAAAAGAGTAAAAAATTAGATACTGGATTGTAATACAATACCATTCACATACATTAGAAATGCTTGCACAGTACAACACTAAACAGTTTTTAAGATTATATATATATATATATATATATATATATATATATATATATATATACAAAATAATGTACATTAAATATGAAAAGACATCCCTGGCCCGTGTTACTCAGTTGGTTGAGAGTAGTCCCATGTACCAAGAGGTCTCTAGGTCAGGGCACATGCCCAGGTTGTGGGTTCAATCCCCAGTAGGGGGAGTACAGGAGGTAGCCAATTGATGTTTCT